GTGACCACGTATTATTCTGGGAACGGCCAGGTCTGACTGTATCACACCACTCATACAGTATCCAGTGACCACGTATTATTCTGGGAATGGCCAGGTCTGACTGTATCACACCACTCATACAGTATTCAGTGACCACGTATTATTCTGGGAACGGCCAGGTCTGACTGTATCACACCACTCATACAGTATTCAGTGACCACATATGTACTGAGAACAGCCAAGTCTGACCACAGCACATTGCTCATACAGAATACAGTAACCACATACTATACCAGGAGCAGCCAGGTCTGACCATATCACGCTGCTCATACAGTATACAGTCACTACATACTGTACCAGGAACATTCAGGCCTGACTGATATAGCCATTAGTCATCCTTGAGACTGTAACTGATTAAATGATCTAGCTGTCAATCTAGGGCAGCAGGGGGTGCTGCGATTCACCAAAACTTGTGCTCAGAGTGACATTTTCAAAATAAATATTGAGCTGTATGATGGGTAAAACAATGTTGAATTGAATTAGGTAACAGATTCCAAAAAAAAAACTCAGGCAGAACAAATTGTAATAATAAAAATAATATAAATGATACAGTTCCCATATATTTTGCTGTCTGGATGTCATGTTAGAGAAGCTGTACTATACAGAGATCCCTGCTTTTGCACAGATAACACTTAATAGTGATCTAGCCTGCTTCCAGTGAGCTGCAATATATGTAAGTAATATACTGTATATAATATATAGAGTTCCCTGATGCCTTCAGAAAGAAGACAATCTGACGAAAGACCGAAGCGGTCCTTGGGGAGTAAGGAGGCTGTGCCTTGTGCTTAAGCCGGCTGTTCGGCTAGCAGCCGTGGGGACCATGCTAACGAGGAACAAGATGGAGAGCTTTGGGGACCATGCTAACAAGGAAGGAGATGGAGGTGATGGCGGAGGGGGGGGAGCGAGCCCAGTGACTACAGGGAGAAACATACACGCCCAACAGCTACGACTGGGGTAAGGAAAGGAGTCGTGATTATACTGAGGGGAGGCCAGAGCCACCGTTCTGTCCACCGATGTCTTGTCGATGCTCGGACCTCCGCACCGTCCATGTGACAGTACCTATACCCAGCTATGCAGCCGTATCACTACTACAGGCTCACCGTCGTATATCTCACAATGCAGACCTACAACTGCGTCTCTCTCCGAAGTTCAAATCCATGCTCCTCCCCACCCCCCCACTTCAGATGAAGGCTCAGATACAATCATCACACCAAGGAACACGTAGCATCACTCTGATTTTATTGGAGAGATCAGAGGCTCCGTTACCGGGATATGAAGAGATGCCTTTTTGAGTATGCATTCATAATCGTCCTCTCAACGCTTTGATATTGTGGAAACGCCAAGGTTGAAGATTATTCTATCTCAAGCGTACGATTAAAACCATTCCTGTGGGCATCGCCGGCTCCGTGAGTGCGAGATCGGACACTTTCCTCATCTGTGATAGTCTCTGGGATGTAACTGGGTTGATTCCGTTAACAGGCTCCCATTGTGAAAGCTGGTGGTCTCCCTCAGTTCAGGTAGCAGGACATCATAGGTTTCTATCTGACATGCGGATGTGAGAAGATTGGCCTGTACATGTCGCGAACGTGTCAGAAGACTGATGAAATTAAAGAGAATCAATTACAGTATTTGGTTGAACAAGCACCTCACAGTCAACAGCTAATACCACTACTCTGGCTAGGTGGCACCAGAGGTCATCTCACCCACCATTCATCCGTTCAAGACTAACAACGTATTTAATGGGTTTCTTTACTCATTGTGCCTTGGAGAATTTCAAAAACCTCATTCGATTACTGGGCTTAAATTCGTACAAGCACAGCTGTCCAGGAAGGATGACAGACAGGGGAAATGCCACAATGAGATTAAAAAACTGGTGTTCCCTCTTAATGTTGCAATTGTGGGTTTAAATAGTTGCAGCATTTTCTAAGAACAAGTAAAAAAAGAAATTCAAATGAATACTGCTTTTTCTGCTACAGACCATTTACCCGTATATTTCAAAGAAAATCATGAAGTACTAATGATATTACTGAAGCATATCCATGTTAAGTTACGTGATCAGGGACTCTGAGCTGAGGTCGTCAAAACAGAGTATGATCATGCAGGGGGAGATTAACTTCTCTGGGGGCCCTAGGCTGACATGGGTAAGGAGCCCTCTTACCCATGTGACCCCGCGCTTCTGATCAAAGCGCGGGGTGACATGGGTAAAACTTACTGATCAGGGTGGGCGCGGGAATGCTGTCGATAAACTTTGCTGATGGGGGACGGGGGTATTATGCCGGAGTATCGATTGGTTAAATTTAAGAAGTTTTTCCATTCCTTCTTTTGTTAAGGTTAGTCTTGAATACTCGTTTAATTGTGTTCTCTCTGCGTACATTTACAATTCGTTTACCACTCCAGCGGGACAGTATCAAAAATAGGGGAGACTAATGCTAGTCTGGTATCGTTGCACCATTTTCTTCTTCTGTTAGGCTACTATGAGCCGGTTGACTTGGCTATGAAACAACCGATTCCAGCCAGAGGTAACAGAGAGCTGGGCAGTGCAAAGTCTCACAGTGGAATAGTCCATTACAGCTGGAACGAGGGGCAACTTTGTCTATCCTGAAAACTCGCTAAACTGCAAATAACATACATCCTGATATGATTTAAATGATCATATTATGTTATATCCTTAAATGTAACTGACTAGGTTTCGGGGGCCCCGGGTAGCTGTATACCGCTGCTGAGTACTGAATCTGGATGCAATTGCTCGACTCGGGTGTGACTTTGTTACTTAGGTGTGCCAACTGTATATTACCAATACTACAGTACTTAGATGTAAGCAGTATACAAATGTGAAACTGAATTTATGGAATATATATGAGACAGACACACACATATATACCTGCACATGCATGAGACAACAGTTTATAGCAGATGCATAGGTCCTATAATCTGATTAACCCTAACCCTAACCCTAACCCTAATCTTAACCCTAACGCTAACCTTAACCCTAACCCTAACCCTAATCTGATCAGCCATAATACACACACACACACACACACACACACACATATATATATGTAAAATTCGCATGTTGGAAAATTTGCATCCTGTGCAGGTTTCCAAAGACATGCAGTTAGGAGAATTGGAGTCTCTGAATTGCTTACAGTTGACGTGTGACGGATAGTTACTCTATGCTGCCTAGGGGGGGCTCCCAGCCCCCTGTGCTTAATAAGCAGATGGAAGATGGGTAGTAATATAATAATTGCATTGGCGAAAATGTAATGCCATGCTGCCTGATTATATTTTACTGGAAAATGTGAAAGATCAGCCTCTGACTGTAGATCAGTCTCAACCACACAGACCTGAGCAAAGACGATGTCCATCTGTGTCCCGGATCGACACCCTGCCTGTTAAGTGCTATACAGCTGACTATTCGCTAAGATTACTTCCCACTCATCTGCACTGAGATTTAATCTGTGACACTTCATATTGTAGCAATCAGAAAAATGAAAGGCCGGAATGGCATGAGATTCCAGCCTGAAAGTCACACTGGTGGAGCACAGAATATGCAGGATGCACTGACCTGTGAACCCCGACACAGAAGCCCCAAGTCAGCTGACCGGGGCCGTAACCATGGCGTCGGTCTGGCCTGGCCAGCAGCTGGGTCACATGACCATGATCATTCACCCATTGTCACCATCACCCATTTTTAAGCTGATGCTTATACACACGTGCGCGTGCACAAACACACACACTCACACACACACACATACTCGCAGATTAGATCTTTGTGGGGACTCATCGATGACGATAATCCTAATCCCAACTATGAAGTAACCAAACAAGATACAAGACTTTTGGCATTTTTAGTTTTTTGATTGCATTTACAGATTTTTTATAAAATTGAGTTTCCCCCTGTGGGGACCAAAAAAATGTCACAACAAGGTCAAAATAGCAGGTTTTTTAAATCACATTCTGTTGGTCCCCACAGTGTAATACTTACATACATTCCACACACGCACACACACACAGTCACACGTGTATGTGTGTGTGTATGTGTTTATATATATATATATATATATATATATTCATTTTCCACAAGTACTACTGAATTTCCAGTTTTTCCTCATTTCAGTTTTGTATGTTAAATAACACTTGACTGACTGATTGATTGATGGCTGAATATGCAGGATCAACAGCATCCTGACACATGTACATTAGACTGAGCCCTTGAGATTCACAACAATTCATACAGATATTAGTGCAACAGCACTCAGTGGTGGCGGGGTGGAAGACATAATACAGAGTCAGCCTGCACTTACTTTTAAATGCAGATACGGGGAAATCTTTGGGATTTAGCACATAGCCAATACATTAAAAATCGATTTTTTTCATAATAATAATAACAATAATACTGATGAAGAAGCAAATGAAGCATTTCGAAAGCTTCTTATACCTCGCACTTAATTCTCCGTACTCAGTGTTAAAGTAAGTGCAGGAGAATCTCAGAAAACAGCAAACAGAATATGAGCATGAATGATTTTTTTTTTGCTGAGCCGCGCATTACGTACTTTGACACACAGGTTACTATTTATATGCAATTTATTCTCCTCACATCTTAAAAGTGACCATCAGTCAAGCCTGGCATGGAAGTAAAAACAGTCTGGCGTGGATGGGGCAGGGCGTGCAGAATGCTTATAATCAAAATGTCAGATTACGCGGCATATTAAAGGCCAACTTCACCGTCCGCGAGTGCGTGCGCGTGCGTCACGTGACCCGCCGCCGTCAGCGTGCGTCCCCTGATCGCTGCCCCGTACGGTAATCCCAATGTTCCCAGTGTGTCTCCACGCTTCGGTACAACGACATACTATTGCGACTGTCACTCAACATGTTATCAAAATTTTCCAAAAACCTAGTATGTGTGTGGCCCCACGGCGGGAATCGCCTTCATTTTAGCGACAAAGCGGAGGAAGCCTCACCTCCAGATCTGGCCGAGCTGCAGGATGTGAATGACTGACTGCACAAGCCAAATGCAGAAAGAGCAGGACGTTGACCTTCCCTTGTTAGTCCGGGTTGCGGTGCTGCTGTTGCAGCTGTTGGTCGTGGTGTTGCTCTTGCTCGCAGAGGACGCCTGCCTCTGAGGGGTGCACGGCTGGCCGCCCATATCTCCGTGCGACGCAGATCCGCTGATCAGCTTGCCGTCCATCTGCGAGCATCCGGCAGGCGCGCCAGCGCCGGCGCTGTCCTCGGTGCTGAAATCGTGGACGAACCATCGGAAACTGAAGACCTGAACTGAAAAGGAGCCGAGCACGACGAAAAACAACGTGAGCCCGAACCACCAGTAATCTCCGCGGAGATAATAGTCGACTGAAAGCCAAACGTCCGTTCCCACATCCGCGAAATATACGGCCACGGCTGCGATGATCCAGAGGCAGTCCCACACCGTGTACTTCTTCTGCTCTCTATTGAGACGGAGACACGTCGAGGAGGAGCCGCAGCAGCGCGACTCCCCGTTCATAAAGTCCCCCTCTCCCGTGCCGGAGTCCGGCTGCGATCCGGGAGCCAGTCCCTGCACGGAGCCCGAGTGATCCGAGTTTTGCAGAGGAGTAAACGCCACGTCGCTCTTTTTCATTTTCAACACCCCGTCCGACTTCGCAGCCATTGCAAGAACCCTCTGTTACACCGAGACCGTCTTCCTCCCCCCCTTCTCGCTCGTCCTCTCTTCCCTGTCAGCTCCTGTGCATCCGCGGGAGACACTGGACTGGGCGACCTCCTCTTCCGCCAGCTGCAGCGCCTCCTGCTCGCACAAAGCGGCGCTTCCTCTCGGCGGCGCGCACGGGCCCATATGCTCTCCCACGGCGCACGCCGAAACTATGACATCATTGCTTTGCAACTCCGGTTATCTCAGCCCCAACTACTCATTTACTAAAATCAACCATTTCCCGAAATATACTACTAACATATGTTTCCACATGTTCATTGTATATTTACTTTTACAAAGCGTATGAAATGTCTATTAAGATATTTTCTATTGTGATACAATGCTATTTATATAGCCTTAGAGACGTAGTGTTACTACCCTAGCTGCATCACCTGGCACACACACACACACACACACATATGAGATATATATATATGTGAAATGTGTGTGAAATGAAACATGAAATATATTCCGGTTTAAATTAGAATACAGACAGTACACTAAAAATCTAGCTGATCTACAAAAGTTGAGTCGTGCGAGTGGGGTTTATGGTTTTCTCAGGATTTAGGTCGATAGTGGAAAGCAGACTTGGTCATAAAACAACGAGTAATTTTCTACAGGTAGGCGAAAGTTCAGATAAATTAAGTAGATTGCTTGTGCACATGGGCGGTCGCCGGTAAATAAAAGATAATAACGAGCTGTCGAGGGGCAACGAATTATCGCCCTTAATGCTGATTAAATGCGGCGTCCTTGTCCATTACACAGGACGTTATTCATTCCTGAGATCTCAGAATATCACAAAAAACTAGGGAGAGGGCGGCGTGTTGTACAGAACTACGCATGCGCGCGCCCGTGCGTCTGCAGGTGTTCTGTAGCTAACAAGCGGGCTTGTGGCGCATGCGCATTGCTAGAGGTGTCCTCCGTGTTCGTATCCTTCAGTGTCATTCTTATGCACCCTCGATTTACGGTAATTCGGTGTACGTTTTTCGCTATAGCGGGTCTTTTGATTACAAAATTTCGATTTACGGACCGATTTCTCCGACATAACGTTTTCCAGGCAAATATATTGGCTTGTATAAAACACTACCTGCAGTTATTTTTCAACATTACGGTTTCTCTCTATGCTACGATCGCATTGTCTCGTCAGGTTTCGTTGTGCTTTCTAATTCAGCCTTTGTTTTGACTGCGAAGTGTTTCGTGTGTCTTACATTTATATTTTTGATAACAGTTTGAATGCTTTGATAAACATGAACCTTCCAAAAGTAAAGATAGTGTTGGAAACGGAGGCGAAGAGAGCGCGAAAAGCGCTCACAATTGAACAAAAGATTGAGGTGATAAAGAGGATTGAGAACGGTGAGAAAATTAAAAGTATCTGTCTGTCTTTAAGTCTGGCTCAATCTACTGTGCACACAATTTTTGCAAACCGTGAGAAAATAAGGAAAAGCTATGAGTCAAATGTAGGAGGTGCCAAAATGCATCGTGTCACAAGCCGTCATGAGGTATTTGAGAAATTGGAGAAACATTTAGTAGAGTGGATGGGGACTCAGGCCAATCAAGGCATTCCTTTGTCTACGATGCTGATCCAGCAGAAGGCCGTGTCGTTGTTCGAGGACCTGAGGAAGAAGGCAGTGGAGAAAGGAGACAGCGATGCGAAGGATTTGTCATTCAAGGCAAGTCATGGCTGGTTCGAGAGATTTAAGAACCGTTCAATGTTGAGGACCATAATCACGGGAGAAGCAGCATCTGCTGATCATGGGGTTGCAGCAGTTTTCCCAGCTCAACTGCAGAAGATAATCAACGAAGGAGGTTACACTGCGAAACAGATCTTTAACGTAGACGAAATGGGACTGTTTTGGAAACGCATGCCTTCCTCTACCTTCATCTCCCAGGATGAAAAGAATGTCCCAGGGCACAAAGCTTCGAAAGACAAGCTTACCCTGCTTCTAGGAGGCAATTGTGCAGGTGATGTAAAGTTAAAACCACTTCTGGTGTATCATTCTGAAAACCCCCCTGCCTTGATAGGAATGGTGAAGAGTTCGTTGCCTGTTATATGGAGGTCGAACCGTAAAGCCTGGGTCACACAGGAAGTCTTTGCAGACTACGTCCAGACTTACTTGTCACCCTTTATAAAAAAGTACACTGCTGAAAGCAGTTTGGCAAACAAGGCCCTATTAATAATTGACAGTGCTCCCGGTCATCCATCCAGCATTGTTGACCACGGAGATAATATTCAAGTGGTTTTTCTCCCCCCTAAAACAACACATCTGTTGCAACCCATGGACCAGGGTGTCACTGCAACATTCAGGGCTTATTACTCGCAGTCATTGATGCAGTACCTGCTGGATGGTGTAAATGCTAATGAATCATTTTCATTGAAACAGCTTTGGAAAGACTTCAGCATTAAAAAGGCTTTGGTATTCATTGACCATGCTTGGCAAAAAGTGTCACCCCAAACAATGAACGTTGTCTGGAATAAACTGTGCCCTCAATTTGTCACATTTGAAGTTTCCGGATTCGAAGAGGTGATCGACGCAAAAGCTAAGATTTTGGCTCTTGCGATGGAGGTGGGATTTAAGGAGGTTGATGAAGCAGGTGTGGAGGGCTTTTTGCAATCACATGGAGAGGAGCTCACGACAGATGAACTCGTCCAGCTCGACAGGCATCGGCTCACAGAAGAAGAAGAAGATGAAAGAGAAGAAGCAAGGAATACCCTCGACACAGATCAGCTGAGAATAGTTATGGACCATGCAGACAAAATGACCGACATCATTAGTAAATATGATCATGACATGATGCGGAGCATAGCATTCAAAAATGCAATCAACTCAGCCTTGGCACCCTTTAAGGATCTGTATGAACGGAAACTACAGGAGCACAAGCAAAGTTCCATCTTGAGTTGCTTTTGTCCCATGGAGTCTTCCACTTCTCCAAAGGACTCGCCACAACCGTCCACATCAGGAACTTGTTCTGGAGACATAATCATCAAGAAAAGAAAGTTGTCCTTCAGCATCTCTGACTCTGGCTTTGAATTCCCACCTCAAAGTCCTTCCTCACCTGACTCTCCTGTGTCCCCACAAGAATGAAGACTCGACTTTTTCTTTGCCCATCCACAAGCTCCCCACAAGTTTCCCCTTTGGTGAGTGCAATAAAACTCTGTCACATTGATTATTTATTTTAAATTTTTGTTTGTTACTTATATTAGTTTTTATGTTTAAAAAATACATTTTACATTGTAAAATATACATTTTTCAAGTGATGCTGGGAAATATTCTTTGGGGTTTTTGCATTGGGTTGGAAATGCATTATAATTTTCCTCATTTAAAACCATGGAAATAGATTTTCGATTTGCATTTCAATTTACAGTGGTTAGTAACATAATCTGGGGGGTACTTTCTGTGTTACTTGATGTACAGTAATTGTGTGTCTTCACCTTGAGTAGTCAGTTTAGCATTTCCAATTTAAAAATTTCATTTGGTATTACTGTTGGAAACAAAGCATTCCCTAATGAATAGAGCATAGCAATTCATTAATGTTTAAATATACAAAGTGTTATACTACTCAGGGTAAATACATGGATTATGGCACATGTTTTTGAGCAATTGAGTAAAATTGATTTTGCTTTAACAATGTGGTGGTTAAGACCACTAGATTAAGTAAATATAAGGTATTGAGTTTTGTACTAGTTATATTCACCCACACATGTATATATGTCTGTGTGTGTGTATATATATCTGTGTGTATATATGTCTGTGTGTGTGTGTGTGTGAGTGAGTGTGTATGTGTGTGTGTATATATGTCTGTGTGTGTGTGTGTGAGTGAGTATGTATGTGTGTATATATGTCTGTGTGTGTGTGAGTGAGTATGTATGTGTGTGTGTATATATGTCTGTGTGTGTGTGAGTGAGTATGTATGTGTGTGTGTATATATGTCTGTGTGTGTGTGTGAGTGAGTGTGTATGTGTGTGTGTATATATGTCTGTGTGTGTGTATATATGTCTGTGTGTATATATGTCTGTGTGTGTGTGTGAGTGTGTATGTGTGTGTGTATATATGTCTGTGTGTGTATATATATGTCTGTGTGTATGTGTGTGTGTGTGAGTATGTGTGTATATATGTCTGTGTGTGTGTGAGTGTGTATGTGTATATATGTGTGTGTGTATGTGTGTGAGTGAGTGTGTATGTGTGTGTGTATGTGTGTGAGTGAGTGTGTATGTGTGTGTGTATGTGTGTGAGTGAGTATGTATGTGTGTGTGTATATATGTCTGTGTGTATGTGTGTGTGAGGTTTTGTAACTCCTTCCTTTTGAAATTTCTTTAACATCCAAGCATTTGCATAATAATAATAATGATGATACTAATAATCATCATCAGCATCATCATACACATCCCTGAACTCACCTGTTTGGCTTCATATTCACCATGTTCATATTCACCATGTCCCTAACATGGACAGGGAGTTACTAAAACCTGACTAAGGGGTAACTGTTCGGCACTGTGCTAATGTGCCGTATCGACTAAATTAAGGATGTGCAGCATCCATCCCATCAGCCTGGTGAGGCCGGTTAGGGGGAGCCTGACAGAGGTATTCCACATCACTCCGCAGATGACTGAAACTTCATGCTCTTTCCTCCTCTTTCAGGATCAAGCCAAGCTTCTCCCAGAGGAGCATTTGCTATAATTGTCTGACGTCACAGACACGTGCTATGTGACGCAAAGAGGGTTGTGAGAAAGTTTTCCCAACAAAGAGCGCCTCCATCATTTCACTGTCACTTACGGTAATAAAATGGAGAAGCAGGGAGTTTGTCGCTTTGCTGGTGCCGTTTTCACTTGTGCAATAAGCCCTACTCTTCATCCATGAATTTGCAAGGCCTTTAATTCTCTGCAAGTGTTCCTTGGTTTGGCTTGCAGGGCTGTTAGGGGATTGTCTTCATGGTTGGCTGTGTTCCTGGGTCTAACCCCTAGGGTTGCAGTAGGATTATCCCACTCGTTTGGCAGCATTCGTCCGATTGGCCCTTTGTGGTTTTCGAGGGATTTTCTCCACGGCTGGCAGTATGTGAAGCATGCCGGCCGCTGAAGAGCCACTCCCCTCTATCCACCGTCCGTTTCCTAACACTCTGACCTAAATAAACACCTCCGTGTTTGCGGTGTTCCTGGCTGTGGGCTGTGCTGACACTGTAGGCCATAGCTTGTGGCACCGCACGCTGTCTCCGGGTCTTCGGGTACCTGACAGGCACCTCTACGCACCTCTGGCCAGAAAGCTCCCCTGAGCCAAGCAGAAATTAAGTCAGTGGACACCTGGGACTTCATTTATATTCAGAAGGTAAAGCTCACAGCGGCTCCTGCTCCTGCAGGAAATTATTCTCCATGAAAGGCTGAGCCATCTGATGAAGAGCATACAGGGCCAGTGAGATAACTGAACACGCACCAGTGCATCATAGCCATGCAGTATTGTAGATGACCACTAAGCATACAGGCCCCAGTGCATTGTAACAACATATGTGAATTAACGACGCAAATATAGCTACATTAGAATCTATCATGCAAGCGATACATTATAACCATGCAGAAATCATTTCATGCTAACCTTACAGACACAAATGCATTATAAAAATATAGACTGTCATGAATCCTAGCGGCCTTCCTGCTAATACTTTGTAACGATGGCAACCAGAATTGGTCTAATGGTTTGAAATCAGAGATTAAATAGTGAAGCAGGCCTAATATGAAGAATTCAGAGAAAGTGGATTGGTACCCAGAAAGCCTCCGTTGAAGTTTCTTGTCATAATAGAAGAGAAACATCTGAAATTGAAAAATGGATTGTCTCAGGCCAGAATGAATGCCTGGTCTTCAAATGAGGTTTCAGTTTGTTAAGACAGTTGTTGACATTGACTTTATGCATCACATCGTTTAGTAGATACTCACAATGTCTATGAATATTCAGATTTAGGAACAACATGAACAAAACAGTGAAATGGCAGATGGAAGAGAGCTGTGAATAAAAATGCAGAAGTACCCAGTGATCTTACATTCACTATATTTTCTCCAGTCTGTGCCTGGTATTTGAAGACGCAGCCAGAGTTAGGACTCAAGAAACGCTTGCATTCAAAGACAGAGATCAAGGAGGACGTTTATGTGGAGGACACTCATTTGTTACCCCTGTTAAACCATGGATTACCGTCTTTCATCATCCATAAATCAAACACCCGGTGCGTCTGCCCAAGTACAACCACTACTGACATGGAGGCAGAATGTTACTTTGATCCACGGGCCAGGTTCAGGTGGGACCACAATACCCAGCAGGCTGGTCATTTTGAGGTACATATAAAAGCTGATTCACACAGTTCGAAAATCTGGAGAATAACCATCAAGAAAAACATATCCTACTAGTGATAAACCCGTAATGAGAAGTTTATTACCTTTGTTTTTAAGATTTTCAATGTTAATAAAAAAAAACTGATGGGATGTAAATATACTCTTCATTTGTTATGCAAAGCTAAAGGGATGTAAATACCACTACTCCTTCCTGGTCTTAAATTAGCTCTCTTTTTTTCAAAGCGAAGCACGAGCGTGAGAGTCAGCCTGTGTCAACAATACAACACGATAAAAAACGTGAAGCCCTTTGCGAAGCTCGCCTGTCAAGCGGAAGGGAAAACATGCCTCGGAAGTTTTGACATTCGCACGTTAATATTTATGCACTTTAAGGTACATTTTACATGTAAGCGAAATTTAATTTAAGATCAAATCGGTCCTTCCGATTGGCCCTTTGTGGTGTTTTTTCCACGGCTCGGATTTCGCAGGAATATATACCAGGAGTGGGGTTCGAACCCACGAGGACAACTGTCTATTGGATCTTAAGTCCAACGCCTTAACCACTCGGCCATCCTGGTACTCTTGCAGTTATAGTAGCTTATTCCTGGTCGTTCAATTAAGTCAAATTAACCTTTCACGTAGTACTAAAATTGAATTCTAAAGCCATTTAACACCTGAATTATTTAATCCCGTGATCGACTTATTGACAATGTTTTCAGTGAAAACCGAGGGGAGCTCTCTTCCATGCAACTACTGATTTGCGCCTAGGGCATCAGGAGGACTTAGAGCATATATCCCTATTATAGCCTGACTGAAGAGCTGAAACGCTGAGGTAGGGAGAAAGCCGGCCACCCTGTGATTGCCTGTGGTCCAGTATAAATCCGCTTTTGCATTTCATTCTGGAGTCCGGTTTCACAAGTCACGCTAGCAAACCGTATTTTTGAATAAATTGCCTTGTAAACAAAGGACATAAAGGACATTTGGGACATTGAAGCTGGGAAGGGAAAGGGGTGTAAGTCGTTTCATTCACTGTTTTGTTTGACCCTCGAATAATAATGAACATAAAATGATTTTACTGCTCAGAATCAAACAAATGCCGTTTATTCATGCCGGTGTTAATTAGACGTAATACTTGTTCAAAAACGCAACATTGTTTCTTGTAGAACAAAAGACATTTGCTAACTATACAACGTATAATATATCGCCTACTGCATCACTATTATTCGCGCACAAAACTAAAAACATAAATGCATTGACTGTCCGCAGTCATGAGAAATGGTTATTTCTTGTACTGAACACTGTTCAAGTATTTCTCCTAAACACAAGCATTGTCACCTGGGAAATGTAGATATGTACACAATGTGTGTGAATCATGGGGAAATGTATCACCAGAAACTTCAAAGCTTCAGGGTAAATTCAGACTACATTTCCATGCCAAACAGAAACTGATCGAGTACCGATTGAGAACCGATACCGCTTATCAGGTCTGTGTTCTGTGACTGAAGGCTGCGATGTTTTGCAGCAATAAACCGAAATCTCAGGGCCAGAACTGGGATTCGAACCCTTAAGTACATAGGTCTATTGAGTCATAACCGCTCGACTACAAAGACGGCCCACTTTTTATAAATTATTTTGTTAAACGATTGCATAACCGCAACAAAGAAAGAATGATACATTTTCAGCACGGTGGGAAATATTCAATTTTTAGCACTTCATCAATGCAAAGGAGTCACACAAAGGACAGGGAATTATACGTGGCAAGATTAAGTTCTCCTGTAAGACCGGCTTTGTAAAGCGTTTTACTTATACTCCTGTCCTCCGCCCTTTCCAACAGCAGGCTGTAACAAGCACTTCATTATTAAGTGTCACACTGCCCACTTGTGGAAATAGCGAGATAATGAAAATGCACAGATGAAGAAAAGAATGACACAATTGTTAAATTCACACAGAGATTCAGGGCGTTTTTTCCCAGTTCGGACGCATATTCGCTTTTTCGCGCAGTCAAGGAGTGATTCACGCCTTTCCCAGCGAGGGTGTTTTATATCGAAATTATTAGTTCGATCACGTAAATATGGGTATGTGGCTAAAACACCGTATTCCCCATAAAGAGTAATCCCTCCCCTGGTGGTTCTGGATGAAGAGGAGCGGCTCTGCGCGCGTGTCACAGTGAGACAGGCGGCACATTCCTCTCCGTTGATTCGTTACCTCTCTAATACATATTACATGCATTTCTTTCTTTTAGTTAACAGTTTCAAACGACGTACGGTACATGGTGAAATAACAGGAAATTCCCATGAGCGATGGTTAAACTGGGCGGTTGTCGCTCTTGAGGACAGGTCGCGCTTACAAGTGAAAAGTACGAATATCGAGCGAACGCAGTGAATTTTTTTTTCCCAATGCGACCCACCCAGGATAAGCATTTGAAAGATGGATGGATGGGTGACATCTTAATTGTGTTTTCTTTTCAAATTAGTCATTTTTACAAATTATTCAATAATAAGCAAACGTTTTTGATTATATTTGCGCTGCAGCAGTTGTCACATGTATTTGAAAGTCTGCAGAATAGACTTTCTGTCTTGACATAAACTCAGCGTTCCTTCCATTGCGTTTTCATTGTACTGCTTTTATTTTCCCTTGTCACTTCAGCTTACTAAATGCAGCAATCAGGGTTTCATTGTGAATGTAACATCAGACAGCTACTTTTGTAATGCAAAATAAAACATCATCTTAATGTATGATCACAAAAATCTCTGCATTCAAAGGCACCAATAGAATTCAAATGCTGTACCCTGCAATTGAATAAGGGTATCCGCATGATTAACTGGTGCAAATTAATCATTTATAACACAGAATGACAAAAACTGAAATATGATGGTATGAAAATCCTGAGAATGTCACCGAGAAGGAATGAGTCTTGCTGTAAGCCTATCAACTTATCGGTCTGTGTTATGCTCTTAGCCAGGAGAGTCTGGTACAGTGTGATGCAGCGGCCTGTGTGGCCAGTGATATGACACAGTTAGAGGCTGTGATGCTGTGTTATAATATGGGGCAGTGAGGTCCACAGGGAACGTTTACAGAGCGCTGCTCCTGGATCATCCTGGCCCTGTGGTTCTGACTTCTAGCATCCTGGGCTTCTGCAAGAACCCCAGCAGGTAGCGCCGTCGAGGGACACACCTTACCATCTGGGATCTTGAACTCAACCGATGTGAATGAGTTCAATCTACTCATCCTCTTAGCCCAGGTCCCAGGGTTCTTGGTGTTGGAGTAAATGCTGACCTCCTCCTTATTGTTAACCATCGACTCTCTCGAGGTGGCCACAGTATCTTCTGCACTGCTTCTGCTGCTGAGCTCGCCCTGGAAGGGGTCTGAGTCACTACCATGTTGCATAGCAAAATAGGCAAGTTTGGTCGACTCCTTTGGCTTGACCATCTCCTCCAGCTCTGAGGAGGAGAGGGCAGCAGTGGTGGAAGCTGGACCCACAAAATAGGAGGCTGGGATGTCATCACTGCCATTTTCCTGGCCTGTACTGGCTGATGTGGTGTCCATGTTCCCATACATGCCCAAGGGTCCAGGAGGAGACATACGGATGAGGTGGTTCTCTTTGAGAAGCCATTGACCCTTGTCAATCAGGACACCCTCGCTCATGTCCTCTGCAGTGCTATGGACCATGCGTTGCTCGGGTTTATCACAAGCATCCACAGGTCCTGCTGTGATGTCATCTGCCATTGCTCTGTCACTGGAGCAGCTGAATGGTTGGTTTTGGTTCTCTTTTATGGGAGGTGCTGAGAATGATGCCTTTAGTATTGAGACTTCAGAGTCGTCCTTTCTTCCTCCGATTTTATTCTGTACACAGTTCTGATCATCAGGCTGCCCTCCAAAATAATCCTCCTCACTTTCGGTGATTAATTCGACCGATTCCTGTGATTTAAGTTCATCGCTCTCTGTCATCTCTGGTCCGTAATCAGAGAAGTCTGATGTGTTTGGGCTTGGTAGCCGCTTATGATCATACTGCACATCTGTACTGCTTCTGGGAATTCTGTGTGTTAATTTGATATTGGTTCCCTCAACTTCTATTTTTAAACTTCCTTTGGAGTCATAACTGAAAGTGAGCGTGGAAGAGTGAAGGGCTGAGTTTACAAAGTCTAGCAAGTCCTTTGGGATTTCCACAGAGCCAGAAGAAGAGGGGTCCTCCACTCTTGTGTCCCACCTGTCTTCCTTGACTTTCCATTGGTTGCTTGTGTCCTCTGAGAGCTGTGTTCTCCTGCACCTTTCAGGTGTTTTTCCCACAAAACCCTTTGCTGAATGTTCACTCAAAGGAAAGTGAGATTCATTGCTTATTACATCTGAAGCACCTGATCTGACTTCTGTTACGACTGTGTCTTCAAAGCTAGCCCTCTCCCCCTTACAGTTAACCTTCTCATCTTCGTGGCTACCTCTTTTGAAGGTCATGATCTTGTCATCTTCAGAGGATACTTCAGAATCTTCACATGTTCTATGACTCTCAGAACTTTCACATTGCGCATTTTTTACTTTTCCAAATTCAATTAAGTCCTGGCTTGGTTGATCATTTGCATTGAAAATATTAATTTCTCCCCTTACTAGGGATGACAGATCTTTTCTGAATTCTTCAGACATACCATGTTCCTCCAGAAGTTCTTCAGTGTTGGGTGTTTCTTGAAATTTGTTGCTGTTCTCTCCATTAAGTGGGTTAAATTCATTTGATGAGTTAAGTGATGAAAGAGTACAGTTCCTGGTTCTGCCATTCAGCTCTACAACACTTCTCTGCAGGAAGGATGTGTAATTCTGTAAATCTGACTGACTGGCCATTAATTTAACTGCATCCTCGATGGTGGCTGCCCCTTGTAAACACTTAATTACCTTCAAAGGCTCTGACTGAGACTGAACATTGTTTACCAACGATTCCCTCATGCTAGCGTAGGCTAAACCTTCATTTAATGTCATCGCTGATGGAAATGCTGTGAGAAACCTGGAGAACGGACTGAATGTAGAGGCAGCGCATGACATGAAATCAGGGACACTGTGGGACTTTTCCAGGCAACTGTAGTTTGACATGTGTCTGTTTGACATTGCTGAGGTGCACAGTTTTTCTAGAACTGGCATTGTGTCCGGTTGGGGAGCCTCAGGATTTGAGCCTGTTAACCTCATTGGTGGTTCCTGTATAGCTGGTTCTTCCTGTACACTCAGATCCAAAGTTTCTAGAATTTGCATTTCATCAAGTAACATTTTTTCAAGCACCATCTCTGAAGTATTAAGGAGCATTTGGCTTTCATTTATATTGCAGTCAAACGGAAGACATTCCTTTCCGCTGAGCTTTTTAGTTTCGTCTTTCATCTCAGATTCCTCTGTGGAGTCGCTTCCGATCTGAAAGACCCCTTTTAATCCTCCATCTGTTTTAACAGTGTTTGTTTCACCGATGCAGTGGATGGTTTCTGTGTCTATTTTATCCAGCCAGTTTTCCACATATTCCGTGACGCCGCGGTGAAACGGGGGCAGCGACACGCTTCCACCAAGGTCACGACCTTCTCTTAAGCCCATCCTGATCTCCCTCAGAGATGTTCGTTTTTTCACTGTCTTGTTGGCATGTGGTAGAGCATCCGACGTGTCCCTAGTAAGGGAGACAGTCGAGTAATTTTTGTCTACATTGGACGGACGGCCTTTGATGATATTTCGTCCGCGTGCATTGTGCTCCTTCTGGACAAATGCATTTTGAGGAAATGACAGGCCCATATTTGCAGTATCTCTGTTTTTGTTTGCTTTCAGTTTCTCTGTCTTTTTCAGCTTCTGTCCAGTTCTGGTAGCTGCTCCTTCTTGGTCAGAGTTCTTCTGTTCCCCTGTCTGGCTTGGGACTTTCAAAGGCATAGCCCTTTCTCCGTCCTTGATGATACCTGTGGTGTCTTTCGTTTGAGTTTTGTCTGCACTTGTACTTGGAGGTTTTGTGTTCTTTTGTTTGTCAGGCTTCCTTTTGCTTGGCTTAGGCATGTCCGTCTCATCCTTTTGACTCTGGGCCTCCCTTGCAATGTCAGCGGGGGGCAGGTCGGAAACCAAGTGCGGAGCACCTGCCGCACTGTCCGAGAAAGAGGAATGATGGTTGGTGTCACTGTAAGAGGTAATCGCCTCTTCCGATAATAAGGGAAAGCGTTCAGATTGTCTCTCATTTAGAGTAGTGGAGGTGATGGATATATGATTTTGTTCATCGTCTCGGTCGTAGCTGGATGACAGTGGAGCAGCGTCCTCAGAGACAGAATGCTGGTACAAGAGCTCGCATACATTCTGGTCCTCAGTGTTGACCTCATTATTGTAGCAGCTCTGCTGTTTACGCCTGTGGAGTGTCGTGCCTGGGATTTCCTCCTGCTTTTCGTGCATCTGGAGGACCTCGGGAGCCTGGGAGATGCAGACCGCTCTGTTACATTCAGCTTCTGGGATTTCCTCCTGCTTTTCGTGCATCTGGAGGACCTCGGGAACCTGGGAGATGCAGACCGCTCTGTTACATTCAGCTTCTGGGATTTCCTCCTGCTTTTCGTGCATCTGGAGGACCTCGGGAGCCTGGGAGATGCAGACCGCTCTGTTATATTCAGCTTCTGTAAGCTTAACTGTCCTTGGTTTGGGAATTGGCCACACCAACTGATGACCCTTGGTTTTGTCCATGTTAGGCCCCTCCTCTTTGGAAGAGTATGCACCTATCACATTCTCTACGACTCCTGTGTCTGACGAGGTACTGAGGCTCTCCACCAATCCCAGCTTCCTTGTGTGCCTGGGGCCGGGCGTACCTGGTCTCCAGAAGCAAGGTTTGCCCTTATTCAGTTGATCTCCGGCTTGGGCAAGGTCCTCACTGGACTTATATCCGTTAAAAATATTCGGAATATCATCTAGGTCTGGTGGAACAGCCGTTGACTCTGGCCTTGGATCACAGCCCGGTCTGCGTCTCTTGGCAACAGTAGACCGCATCAGCGTGGTTGTCCAATGTAATATCTCTTTCTCCTTGACTTTCAGTCGCACCTTCATCTCCACTGTCATGCTGCCATCCTCATTAATGCAGAATGACTTCTCAATGTCGCCATCTGGAGGCAGGAGAGGTCTGGCAGCTCTTCCATCAGCAGTGCAGAGAATGGGCTCTGAGGCTGTGGTGTCGTTCATCGTGACCCCTTCAGAGGTGCTGCGATTGCTGGGGAAGTCGAACAAGCTTGAGCTGGAAGAACTGCTCATTATCTCGCTTGTAATGTCCTTCTTTGACTTCAAATCGCTGGACGGTGAGTTTGCATTTCCTATAAGGTGGATGGATCCAATGTAGGTAACGCACGGACGCGAAGGAGTTGAAGGTCAGTGTGATGAAACATTGAGAATTATAAAATAAAAAAGGGAAAAAGGGAAAGGAAGAAGTTGAAGATTAATTAGAAAATTACATCTCAGAACTGGTTAAGGATACAAGGTTAGAATAAAAAAATTTAATGATGAATGTGCCCTTTCTGTCTGATTTAAAAAAAGAGATGTCACTGTACAGTTGAGCAATGGTCTTCATGTTTATTAATATATTATTATATTAGTATTTATAATCTGACTGTAGGCGAGGCTCTCTTTGTAAAGGAATCATTTTGATCATTTCTAGCAAACCACGCTCACAAGCTATAGTAAAGTTTCATTATTACCACAATGTAATTGGGGTGTATACTTAAAGAAATTTGAGTAAAGTGGTTTCGCCATAAAAATAAATATCCAACTATACAAATTGTTGAGCATTTCTGTAACGCGAGCCATATAGATTTTCATACAGAGAAACCATCTGCTAAGTGATGTAACTGAAGAGAAGCACAGACCTACCAGCACGTGTGTGACGTCTGAGTGGTTCCTTGGTAGGCGGCCATCTTGTTTGGGCAGGGCCCTGCACTTGGTACCTGGCTGGTTTAAAGTGTTCACCTGCTGAGGCCACAATCCCAGAAGAGCACAAGGCTAGACCTGAAAGACTAGCAACCTGCAATGTGAGAAGTGGTGCTTGAAATGATGTTCAGAAAAGCTCAACATCCTCCAGTATTCAGTGGATCAAGAAACAACTTTCTGGTTAGTTGGGGAATATATGTAGACTCCACAAGCTAGCTACTGCATGCCATCCATCCATTTTCTGTAACCGCTTGTCCTTCAGGGTCGCGGGGGGTCCGGAGCCTATCCCCGAGGCTATGGGTGGCAAGCAGAGAAGAACTCAGGACGGGGGGCCAAATCATCACAGGGCACACTGACACACCATTCACTCACACATGCACACCTACGGTCAACTCCAATCAACCTCATTGTGTTTTTGGACTGTGGAGGGAAACCGGAGTACCTGGAGGAAATCCCACGACGACACGGGGAGAACATGCAAACTCTACACACATGGAACCTACTGCATGCTAGTTTCGGGTTAAAATTAGATTAGGCTGCACAGTTTTTGAAAATCTGCAGCAGGCCTGGGTGTTGCATCTAAAGTTACTTCTACTGTTTTTACATAAACCAAGCTGAGGATCTGATTGCTCGATATTCGCAGTTTCAGAGTGAGAGAGCTGCTTACTTTTCGGCCGTCCATGGTGTAGATCTTCTGCACTGGGATATGTAGCACCTCTGACATGCTCTCTAGTACACTCTCCCACGTCTGGATGGCCTGAAGGTCCACCCTGTGCTTGACGCCGGCGTCTCCATTTCTGAAGACCATCAACCACTTGGGCGTCTGCACCAGTGGCGAGTCCTCAGGATTGCTGAGTCGGTTCTCGACATCGCCGGTCACCGGTCTTCTGTTGACCACATCCAGGTTGATGGGGTGAATCTTCCTTTTGTCAGAGCACAGGTAGGACTTCCCATCCTCCAGCTCATCGAGGCTCCGGACAACACGTGTACCCCGGGGGGTGGTGATGTTTCGCACCCCGAACGGCAGGGGAACCTTTTTGGACAAGTTGTCCAACAGGGCGTCGAAGGTCTTAAAGGCTCGGCTGTTGATGACCACTTGGAGGCCACTGAAGTGGGGATCCCCGCTCTTGTAGAAGCGGACTCGCTTGGGCCTCTGGGGCACCTGGGGGGCAGAGGACAGGGGGTGGTCTGGACAGCGTGGGGACCAGCTCCCGGAGGACATGTCCTGCTCAGGCAGGCAGGTCTTGGCCACATCGCTCATGGTCTCAGGGAATCTGAGGGGGTTAAAGGTAGCGGGGTACATATAAGAGGTAGGATCTCTTCTTATGGAAACTGAAAGCAGGCAGTGATGAAAAGACAGAACACAAAGGCCGGAGCTTCAAATATCGAAAAGCCTCCGCAGCCGTACCTTTGATCAGGGAGCTTCAGTCGGCCCTGCGGCGTGTAAAACGGCGGAGGTGTCAGATTGTTAGCATTTTAAGGCAGTTCGGGCAGATGTGCCATGCAAAGAAAGCTAAAGTGGCCGCGAAGAAACGCTGAGGTGATCATTTTGTCCTAAGTCAGGCATTCTCTGAACATGATGTGTGTGTTTGAGTGGCAGCTGGAAGCAATGAAAGGTGCCAGGTTATATGTAATGTTACAGGAATAGATGGTTACTTATGGTTACGTATGAAAACATAACAGTGAATATCTTAATTATAGTTTCATAAATCAGAGCTCCAAAGCATTCTTTAACAGCCAACAGCAAACTGGTTCCTCCCATTAATTACTGATAATTCTAAAATTAACTAACTCATTAAATGTGAAGATTTTCTAGGATAAGCAGGTATTAGAAAATGTGTGGATGGATGGATGTTTTCTTTGAAGACTGAAAATGGAAATGACAATAATTTATATACTGTAATGTTTTCCTTAGGTCTTCAGTAAAAGTAAAATCATTGTAAACAACGAGGTTTCCTATGTAAAGTTCAAAGAAGGTAACCTATGTAATCTGGGATAGGGTGTTGCAGTTCATTAATTAATTTGTAATTATAATTTTATTAGGGAAAATTACAGAGGATGAAAGAGATCAATTGAATAATTAATAATAATTAATAATTTGAGGTATAGCTATAGAAATGCTGAGGTTTGAGATTTGCCAAATATGGCGATGTCAGTAGTCGAGTCTTTGACGCACTAGTTCCGAACAACTCGCAAAAAGGAATCAGATCTATATGAGTTATTTCACTGAGCATTAACCATGAATCGATTGCGCACAAACGATTATAATTCATTCATTATATTCCACACTCCCAGTACTGAATTATATGCGTATTTAACAACTAAGACAGTAGTGATTAAATAGAGTAATTAAATGGAGTTTCGAGTAGGGAAATCTTTCCATGATGCACTAGAATTTATTTTCGAAGTATGATAAGCTTACCTGGTTTCACATTTTCAAACGGATAGCGGCAATAGCGCTCCTTCGCCGCTCCAAAGCCGCTCACTGCAGCGCGGCGGTTATTTTAGCTGCGCCTGCTTCGGGGTCAATCTGTATAATCTTTGCACACGGATAATCAGCGCGCTGGGCGCGTCACGGAGTTAGACACTGTGATTGATAGGATTTTTCAATATTTATTGCAGTTTGTAAACATTTCCTCCCCCTGCCATGAACATGCAGAGCCTTTAATGAGAAGGGATGATTCATGAAATCTTACTGGCAAGCTAAACCCTCTCCGGGAAGACTGTTTTATTTCTTAGCTGTAGACTTATAGGACCGTCCAGGTAACAAAGCGCCAGTATCTGACGCCGCCTCTCACTCGCTGGCTGACGCGTAATCCGACTGGGGGAGTCTTTGGGTGCCTGGGATTAGGGAGGTTTTAGCCGTTAGCCGACAGGGCGAGGGAGCCCCCGACGTGCTTAATTCCTTGCAGGGGCCCACCAATCATTGGCTGCTGCAGGGACACGCTGGCCTGTCCTCCTCTCACTTTCTCCAGGATTCCCCTTAGCCTCCGTAGCGCCCCGCGATGTCACAGAGCAGCTTTTCCTGCGTGTGAAGCAGACCAAATACGATACCTGTGTTTGCTTATCAGGCAAAACGATGGATTTATTAAAGATAATAATAATAAATATTATTATTTATAGCTAACTTAATGATGGGTGACATTTGCAAAGCAAAACAGGATGAAAAGGAGACAAGTAAATTTTACATGTGTTGAATTGAAATGTTATGTTTATTTGCATAAATAGGCCTACATACGAATTCTGTTAGTTTTCACATACCCTGTCGTCTTTCCTTGATACACAGATATACATCATGGCTGCCCTCATATGAGGTGAATAGTGTTGTGGTCTGAGGAGCGTGGGGCGCTCGTGGTCAGCCGCGGCGAGCGCATGCAGAGAGCGGTCTGAGGAGCGTGGGGCGCTCGTGGTCGGCCGCGGCGAGTGCGTGCAGAGAGCGGTCTGAGGAGTATGGGGCTGGTTAGCCACAGACCAGTCAGAATGCCCATGCTGACCACACCTACTGTCGGAAGCACCTACAACGAGCATGAATGCATTGGAACTGGACCTTGGCACAATGGAAAATGGTCACCCAGCCTGATGAATCCTGTTTCCTGTTGCATCACGTGGACGGCCAGGTATGTGTTGAGCATCTGTGGGATGTGTTGGACCGATAAGAACAATCGATGGCTACGTAGCCCAATATGTAACAGGACTAGTATTTTTAAGGGTCTTGTATGAATGTCCCCTGACATCTGCCAATTCTGCTGAAGATGGGATTCAAATTGGTGACCTTCTGCACACAGGGGCTGACGCCAAACCCACTGAGCCACACATCATTATGCCACTACATACTCGTCAGCCTGTTCAGAATTACTGATTTTTCTTCATGTGTTTCTCCAGCATGAGTCTTCTGAGTCAAAAACAGCTAACCGAGATCCAGTGTTTCGGCAACCTGCCAAGGTGTCCAGGGCCGCGTTCCCGGCACATCCCGCGATAGGCTGCATCGGATAAGCACTTCTGGAAAACGAGCGGATGGATTTCCGGGCGTTGAATAAACAGCCCATTCCCCTGCTGTCGAATTTGGAAGCCTCCTTCGGAGTATGACACAGCCTCCGCTAGGTTTTTGATCGCGTCCCTTTGCTCCAGCCTGGACTCTTCGGAACCGGAAGCGATCCCACACAGCTGATCCGCTTCAGCAGCTCAGTCAAACCTGTCAGCTGAGACCTGTGCCCTGGCTTTCCACACTAAAGCTTCATAGTTGCTGCAGTTACTTGTTTATTTTCAAGTGTTTAAGTGGCATATTCTTTAATTACATATTTAAGGAAACCAAGCAGCAGTAAGTGTGGAGTTTAAGGGCAGAAACCTATAACCCACCGTTTACTGGTTGTTTGCTCTAGAGAAATAACCAGCTCAGTAAATTAAAAAAAAATTGATAAGCTGCCCTGCATGGGATGTGTCAGCTCTGGGAGCCACAGTCAGGCAGGAGGAGCTTCGGTGCTGACAGAGCGTGGCAGAGCAGGTTCGAGGTGAGGCAGCAGGTGCGAGGCAGGGCAGGTGCGAAGCGAGGCAGCAGGTGCGAGGCAAGGCAGCAGGTGCGAGACGAGGCAGGGCAGGTGTGAGGTGAGGCAGCAGGTGCGAGGCGAGGCAGCAGGTGCGAGACGAGGCAGGGCAGGTGTGAGGCAAGGCAGCAGGTGCGAGACGAGGCAGGGCAGGTGTGAGGTGAGGCAGCAGGCAGATGGAGCTTTGAAGTGAGTCACATGCTTAAAGTCGCAGGTCGTCAGCTCCCTCGTCACGTAATCAACCTAGATGGCGAATTGTCGCCTTTCTCAGGGTTCTCTAGTGGAGCCTCACGTGCTCAGGATGATTCTGGCGCTCTTTGTGCTTCCTGTCGCCCTTGTTGTACTACCGTTTATAGTCCTATAGAGGTTATCCCAGCTGAAAATACTTTTGACTCATTCATCCATATAACTGGCTTCCACTCCTCTTAATAGACCAGTGCAATTACTCATAAGTGTAGATAAGTATGGATTCATGCAGGTGCGCTCACACTGTAGCTCACTATTACTTCAGTGATATAGCAGTCTGATGAAGATTAGCAGATTGGAATAGTATTTCTCGACCCAGTCCTGGGGAACCCCCAGTCATTTCCCTCCCAAGGAGCAAAAACGTGGACCATCTTGGGGTCCCTGAGGAAACACTGTTTTAGGATTCTGTGCCTCTTTTTGGAAGGTTTCAGGTTCGAATCCCACTGTAAATGCAATTGCTCCAGGGACTGTCTGACCCTATACCACAATATTTAAGATTCTTTATTTGTCACATACATGGTTATACAAGTACAACATGTAGTGAAATGGACCCTGAACGACCCTTAGACTGTGCAAATCAAAAGCAGAATTAAGAATAAGTCAACAAGTTAAAAAAAAATCATACAATAAACTAAAAGTTAAAAAAAAACTAAGAATAAAATATAGAGAAATATAGAATTTGTTCTAATATTCTTAAGGTTTAAACTGTACATGTGCATATGATATTAGAACTATGTATTTAAAGTGCAGTGTGACTTGTTGCAGGTGACATACGTGTAAATATAAGCAAAGATGGATGGATATGTAATTTACAGATTGTTAAAATAGCAGGTTGGCGACAGGTAGGAGGAGTTTGCATGAGTTGTGTGCATTAAGGATGAAGTGGTGGCATCTCCTGATATAAATGTCCTGATTAAGGAGTCTAACGGCGTGAGGATAGAAGCTCCTCCTCAGTCCCTGATCATCCTGGTCGCTCTGCTCCAGCATCTCCTGGTATAAATGTCCTGCAGAGATGGTAGAGAAGATCTGGTACAGCGCTCTGATGCCCAAATCGCTCTCTGCAGTCCCTTCTCAGCTGTATGTTGCTTTAGATATGTCTCTCCTCCCCCGGGAGTCCCTGACTGACGTGTCTATACCCTTCAGCCCCAGGAGTGTCTATTGTCTAATTCTCCCCTAGTACACTAGTCACACCCCCCACTGGATACCTGTTCTCCTGGCTGCTGATCACTAGCTCCTCCTCTCCTTCCAGAAACTCCTATTAACGGACACACCCCTTCCAGCTGTGAAGGATTCGGACTGATTAGGAGCCTTGCTCTTTGCTGCCAGACCTTCTCAATATCCTGTAAGTTTTAAACATTCTCCGTCCTGATCTGCTTATCTGCCTGTGACCTGTTGCTCTGCCTAGACCCTGATTTCCGCTCTGCCCTGTTTGGATCCTGTTGCAGATCAGCCAACCCTTCGCCTGTTTCTCTGACCGTCCTGTGATTTGGATCTCGTTTTTTGCCCACCTGGTTTGGACCCTTTCCTGTTCGAGTCTGATCATCCCTGCACTAAAACCCCTCTCCTGAATACATTTGTGTCTGCATTTGTGTCCTCCACACCTGGCCTGTCCATCACAGGAAAAACGTGTTTGCCAAATAATTTAAATGTGTCTATACAGATGGTGTGTGTCTGTTCTGTGTCAGAGCACCATGTGTAATAAATGTGTTTAGAAAAGGCTGCATGTGAATTTTATTTAGTGTACTTCCTTATGTAATAATAAATATTGTTATTTTTATTTGACTAATTTTCGTGGAAGGGCTAAAAGGTTTACGTCAGCAAAATTTTTTAAATAAAACGTGCAATTTGTTTAAGTACCTCAACAAAGAAAAATAAACAAAAATACTGAATGGAGTAGATCGGAGCTTGCATCTTGAGAGTAGTCATTGGGGTGAATCAGTGTAAACAACATCTTCCCCACCCTTGATTGCTGTTTTCAACCACTATTAAATAACACGAGTGTGTTTACGTGTCCGTGTTATACGTTGCCATGGTAATAGTTGTCAGGCATCCGTGTCTCTGGCAGACGGGATTCAAGCTACTTTGAGCAACATCTGTCAGTGGCTGTCAGGTGACAGGGCGATGCTGGAATGTTAAAGCAAAATGCAGAGTCAGTCAGTTCAGGTCCTCGAAGCTGAGTATAGGCTTTCATTATTCATCTTCACAAAATTACATCCGAGAAGATACTCACTGCTCATACATTAAAACGCCGCAATATTACAGCAAAATAATTTCAGCCAGATGTCTACGATTGTATTTGACAGCAAAATAAATAAGTAAAAATGTAAAAAAATTCAAACGGTTGTACGATGCACGTAGGCCTACACGTGTAATTCTACAAAACAAAAACATTTAACTATATGTAATATGTCTTGCTATATATAATGAAAATTGATAGATGAATTATACAAATTACTGTTATAATTGCACCTGAATGCTTTTCTTACAATAGATACCACTAAATGAAACTCTAAATTGAAAACATACAAATCAGACTGTTATTATCTAAGTATAATGCAGAAGCTTGTTGGTTGCCTGCAGTTCACAGACCCCGTTCCCCTCCGCGGTTTTATCTCTGTTAGACCGGCGCAGGTACCGTGCAGCTGCGAGGGAGGTCTGCGGTTTCTGCAGCTTTCTGTGACTGACGGCCGCTTCCACACAGCCCGTTTCTTGCAGATGATTATTTCGAAATAACCACTTAATTGCAACAGATTTTTATTCTGAACTTCCAGTTTGTGTTTTATTATATGCAAGTCTTTATATCCGCATGGTTCTCTCGGGCGAATAAAAAGATTTTAAGTTCTAGGATGCAATTGCTGATGAGAGATTTTTGCATCTAGCCACATGAAAGCACGCTGAGTAACGCATCTCAGTTCACTCTCTTTTATACTTTCTCACATTCGCATAGCCTGCTTCACTGAAATGTTCTGCCCGCTTCTTTTCACCTGCTGGCGCGGCTGCACGACTGTCCCAAGTCTTACGGGCTGGAAATCGGAAACTCCTCTGTTTTCCACTTCAGCTCCGTGTGAGACGGAAGCAGCTTCCCAATGTCGGCATCGCAGCTCTGCGGTTAGCATTACTTTCTCACATCCATTTTGCATGCATTCAGTGGCTGATTCCCTGACACTGTACATCAAAACCAGAGACTCTTCTCTTGTTGACTGTACATGGGATTTCCGATAGCTGACTAATTTTCAGTTAACCGCCATACTATGCGATCTAAGTATTTTCATTTGCAGTTTAGCTATCATTCATAGTTATATTAATATTCATATTGCTAATTGTACTCCTTAAATTACTTAAGGTAATATAGTTCCTACATCCAGGGCTGGACTGGGACCAGAAGATGGCCCTGGCATTCTTTGGTCATGGCGACTCACTATGATTATTTATACGACATGCGAAAGCACATGAAATACCAGAGGATATATGTGTGTGTTGTGTGATTTCAAAAATTAAAACAGAGCGCAGCAGCCTACAAGGAAGAGAGTAACCACGTAAAAAATAAAATTATATGCTCTTTCACTACTCAGGGATTCATCTTGGGAGAGATGGCCACAGTGTCACAATTCCCACCTTTTGAAGTGAAAGTGGATGTCAAAGAAACACAGAGAGGGAGAGAGAGAGAGAGAGAGAGAGAGAGAGAGAGAGGCAGGAATGTTAACTTCAGTGTTATTTCT